TGGGTGAGGAAGGAGGGGCTCGGGGGAATCTGTGCAGAAGATGAGAATCCATCAGGACTGTGGCTGGAGGCCCTTTGAAGATTGGAGCCACGATGCCTGGGATGAAGGGAGCTTGGGACTACTGGTATCCACTTCCCCTTACCTCGTTAGGGGTGGGCCACCCTCTCCCAATGACTAAGAACTATTACTAAAATCACTAAAACTGAAGACAAGCCTAAAACTACAGGTTGTCAACCAAGGTTGGCAGGTTTACCACGCACCCTCGTTACTATCAGATCGGTACGACCTGAGCAACTGTAGTGCAGTCTTATGGCTTGATCATAATTCTGACCCATGTTGCACACACCTCAGGATTCTGCCCTTTATGAAGCTTCCTTCGAGAGGTACACTTGTTAGCAACCCATTTGGGACCCCTCCCGTCTCTCAGGAGTAGCTATTCCCATTCCCCATTTCCCCTTCCTTTTTCTCCAATAAATTTTCCTACTGCTAGCCTCTATTATTCCTTAGAATTCGTTCTTCAATGTTGGGACACATTCAGTCAGCATAGTTGGCATCTACAATGTCCCTCAAGTCACTCTGATTCCACCTGACCCAGCTATTCCCCTTCTAGGTGTCTTCCCAGAAGAGCTGAATCCCTCATATTGCAGCGCTCCTTGCACACCCATGTTTATAGCAGCACAAATTGATACAGGGACAAAAACTGATATAGGGACCTCCAAATGATATAGGGGAAGCAAAACTCTCCACCTCACCTGGACGAGTTTGTGCTCTGTGAAAGTGAAGAACAAATTTTAGGAACAAATGGAGGTTATGAGCAGAATATATTTACTGGGGGAAAGAAAGCTCCTGTCTGAGAGAGGGACAGAAGGGGGGCCCCCGAGCAGGTAGTCCCTGGGAAACTATCTTTTCCAGGGACTTTTATAGTGTAAAATCATGCAGGGCTAAGGTGGAGAAAATGGAAACTTGCTTAGGTGGATGTGGGACGGGACAAAACCATGGTCAACCAATGGGATTACAAGCACCATTGCTCAGGTAAAATTAAGTCCAGGACCAAATGGGGAAGGGAGTCATGTAGCAAGTGGGCATGAATGTAGAACAGGACCTTATCTGGTAGCCATCCGTAGTAGTTGGCTTAATGATTCTTCCTGACTTTCTCAGGGTGAAAATCAATCCTGGATGCCAATCTTTAGGGAGGTCAGCATTTGTTTGATCTTTGGTCTTTAGGTCTGGCCCACAGCAGGAGCATCCGTCCCTCCCACAGTTGTAAAGTATCTTGTCTTCTGTGTTATCTCCTTCTAGGGCCTGGCCCTGTCTGACTGCCTATAATATTTTTATCTAATTCAGCTGCCTGTGACAAAATCACAAGAGCTAACTCTCAGAGGCAGCCTGTGTGTCTATGAGCAGATGAGTGGATAAGGAAAATGTGTCATTTTCAACTATAGAGCACTACTCTGCCACAAGGAGGGATAGACTTGAATCGTTTCTAGCAAAACAGATGCACCTTGAGACCATAATGTTAAAGAAATAAATTAGACACACGGGCTACAATATCACATGGTTTATTTTTTTATTTTTTGGTTTTTGTCCCTTTGAGACAGGATCTTGCTATGCAATTCTGGCTGGTTTTGAGCCCACTTTGTAGCCCAGTCTGGTCTCAAACTCACAGTGATCCTCCTGCTCAGCCTCCCAAGTACTAGAACTACAGATGTATACCACCCTGCCTGGCCCACATGGTTTCTTTTGTATATACAAGAAATTCAGAATATAACTGAAGAACAAAATACAGGAAACCAGGAAACAGGGAGATAGAAATTTTGCAAGTGAGAAGGGCACTAAGAGATGCGGGAGGCTGTCACTGGCAATTCCAGGGGACCAAACCAAATGCCCAGAAGCTATGCTAGGACAGAGTGTGAGCCACAGATTTAAAGCCTAGGCAGGGTGAAAGTGTGAAAGCCACAGGCAGTCAGAGAACACAAAACAATTTAGCTCAGTGATCATAATTGACTTTATTTTGATTCCAGTTTCAGGCAACACTTGATTCCACAAAGCAAGAGTAAATGCTCCAAACAGCTGAACAGAGGAGAATGGTTTTCCAGACAGAGAAAAAAGCAAAAATGAAGAACAAAAAGTAAATTTCAAGGTTGCTTTTCTGGTCAGGCAGGACCAGGACAAAGCCACTCAAAACTGACCAGGATGGGGCCAGAGGGACTTCAGTGTCACACAGCAGCAAGCACTGTCCTGCTGGGAACCCGGTTGTCTCCTGATTTCTGGGAGATCAGTGATAAACAACTTGCTTCCTCATGGGGACATGGAACCTTAGAATGAATGACTTCAGTTGTCCTTTTAGCCTGCTCTGTCGGACTTAGTCCAAAATAATGGCTTCTTGTAACTTTTATTTAACAAAGCAGCAGCCCACCCTGATACGGAAGAACTCAAAATGTTGCCCACAGAAGCCCCACTTTTAAATTTTTTTATTTTTACTTGTTACCTTTTCAAAAAAAGAAAATGCCACACATGAAAACAGTGCACTGAATCCTCACAGACCCGGTACCCAGCTACAAAACTGATGAGCCTCGGTCAGCACCGCTCCCTAGAGAAGGGGAGGAGGGGGCAGTTTGAACCAATCCAGAGCCAGTGAGGGAGGCCTCCCAGCCAATGAATGGCAGTGAGCTTTGAATATCTGCACATCTGAGACAAAAACAAAGGTGTGGCTGGGGGCTGAGGGTGGAATGTAAACGCTGCTGTTTTCTCAAAACCTCAAGGAGATAGCTGAAAGAAAAATAAGGAGAAGGGGAAAGCGGAAGCCTTCACGAAAGCCATACCCCAACAGTGCTCAGTACTGGGGCTTTTGCCCGAGCAGAGAGAAATCCTCAAGGAAGTCTCCTCCTGCTCCAGAGGATGGAGGAAGGAGGGCAGCTGAGAGGCTTCCATCAAGGCCCCTTTCCTTGCCCGTTTGCGTGGTCAGGTCAAAAGACAGCCACACCTGAGTCTGAAGATCTTAACTGGCCTTATCTTGTACGCAAGAAGCAGGCAACATTTTGCTCCATTACATAGTTAAGTGTCCTCTTGGTCCCACAAAGATGGTTGATTTTATAAAAAGGGCCTGGAAGGAAACAGAAACAAGGACCAACAGCAGATCTGTCATTTCACAGTTACCTTACTGCCAGGTTTGGTGTCCTGCGCCTGCAATCCCATCAACCCAGGAGGCTGAGGCAGGAAGATCAGATGTGAGCTCTAGGCCAGCCTGGACTTCCCAGTGAGTTAGTTTAAAGCCCCTCCACAGGAGCTGGGGAGGTGGCTCAGTAAAATAAGTGCTTGCCTGGTAAGCACAAGGGCCCCGGTTCCACCAAAAAAAAAAAAAACAAAAAAAAAAAACCAGTCCACAGTACAGAGAGAGAGACTTGTCTCAAAAAAAATATATAATAATAATAATAATAATAATAATAATAATAATATGAATCCAGGGGTAGAGGTGGCTAGTCTGTAGGGGTATGAGGAGGTGCCACTGGGGTCTGACTCCCAGTATGTTAGCTCTGTGTGTGTGTGTGTGTGTGTGTGTGTGTGTTTTGGAAGCTGAGGCCAGCAGGGCAAGGACAAGCAGGGAGCAGCCAGGTAAGCGTGTAGAGCACATTCTAGGCAGGAAAGCCAGCAGGTGTAGATGAGGGGAAGGAGAAAATGGGAAGGAAGGGGAGGAGTGGACGCGGAGGCTCGAGTTGGCCTGGTGACCAAGGGCCTGGCACAGCATCGCCTCCTGCAGCAGAGGCCCAGGACAACTTCTCTTCATGTCCACCCCTTCTAGGATTCACCCCACATTGGCTGTCCTGATGCCCGGTAGTCACAGCCATACCACAGTCTCAGGGATCACTTCCAGCCATGAAAACAAGACCAGGGCAGGATAGAGGACATCTCCCCTCACCTTTTTAAGACCGCCACAACATTTCTACAAGCCCTGGCCTCTCATACCCAATCTCCTCAACCAGCCATGGCTGAGTCATACCCGTGTGTGGGAGTCACACACCCACAGGTGACCAGCCCCACAAACTCTCTGGGATCCACCCGGCTCACCTAAGGCAACGCAGCCAGAACCGGAGATGCTGGGTGCCCCTAAGTGTCCCAGTTCAGCTTGTTTTGCAGACTTCAGGGTGGGGGTCTTCTTTTGGGTCACTTAGCTTCAGAACCCAAATGTGGCTCTCAAGTGTCCCTGGGTGAGGGTGTGCAGATCTCAGCCCATGGCAGGAGAGGCCCCCAGCATGGTCTCTGTGGATGCTGGGTGGGGGTAGGGGACACCACCATGGGAAGGCCTGGGCCAGCAAGCTGTGCCCCACCCACCCACACACACACAGGGATGCCGTGTCCTCCACATCTTCTGGAGCTGGTAGTTGTTGCAAAGAGGGAAAACTGGGAGGGGACACCAGAGGGGACTGAGCCAAGGGGCAGGGGCCAGGGTGGAGGGGCTGAGGCAGTGCCTCTAACCTCAGGTTGTCTCCATAGGAAGCTGCTGTCATCAGGGTAGCCAGGGCCACCATCTCTCAAGGACAAGGGTAGTGGGTGGGTGTAACCCCCATCCCCAGGGACCTGCTGGAGTGGTGATCCTGGGTCTGAAGTTAGGGGTCTGCCAGAAAGAGGGGACCCTGGAAGCAAGAGGCCTGGTGCACCTGCACCCTGTAGCCCTGGAGCACCAAGCTACCAGGTGCAGGTCCAAGAGAGGCACGCAGCGTGTGGGCTCACAGACCCCCAAGCCCTCCGAGCCCAGCTCCAGTCCACTGTGGTATGACCAATACCTCAATCCCCCTACTCCACTTCCTGGGAGTGAAGTTACTAGTATGCTGGCTACTCCAGAGCAGATCCTGAGAACCGAGAACCCTTGTCCTCAAGGGGCTAGGAACTGCCATGTACCGTGGGCCTGGGCACCTGCGTGAAGGAAGCCAGGACTCTGGACGTGGGTGTGGCCCCTTCTGTGGGCACTGGGCCCTTTATATGGGGCGAGAAAGCAGACGCAGTGACGATGCTGCACTTTATTGAAGAAGGGCAGAACGAGAGGGCCAAGTTCTGCCAAATAGAGCCGGAAGAGGCGATCTCATTTCTGGTGGCTGAACTTCTTCCCCATAGCCCCATCAGAACCCTGGTTGGCAGCCTTGTCAGTGGCTTCCTGGGGCTTCTCAGCACCTAGGAAAGGCACGGGCAGTGGGTAAGTACAGCCACTGTCGCTGTCTTGCAGGTAGCAGGAATGGGCGCTCCCTCCCCAGGAGGCCCTGGGGTGACAGCAGACAGATCAGCTACAGGAGACACCCTCCTCCCCTACAGCCCCAGACCTTTCTGTCCAGCATCAGTGGGGTCCACTGGCTGGCCTGCAGTGGCACCTGTTGAGAGAGGGGGAGAAAGACCCCATTAGCTGCTATGGAGGCCTCACTGACCGTGGCCCTACCCTGCCTCTCCAGCCCAAGGACGGATGAAATCCCTCTCCCCTCTGCCTGAACTGAGACCCCCAGCAAGTCCTGGGACCTTCATCCTCACCATGGGGCCCTAATGGGGCTGCTCAAGGCTGGGTGGGACCCTTCCTGCCCGCACTCCTCCTCTGATGCCCTCTTGCAGTGCCCAGGGTCCCTGGGGCACCACGTCCCCAACTCTACCACCCATCATTCCCTTGGTGCCAGTGTGGCCAAGCCTCCGTGGGCCCTGCAGGCTTCTGCTCAGAGCATCCAGGAGGTGTGTGCACTGCCCAGGTGGGGTGCCCACTCACCTTCTTGGCCCGTCCCCTCCACCTGCTGCTTCAGATCCTTCAAGCCCTTGCTGGCCATGGCTCTGGGAGGTTTGTGAGTTTCCCAGGACAGCTGTAGTGGGTTTGGATCCTGAGGATCATGGTGCAGACCCAAGCACAGCTCGGGTTTTCAAGGCGTCCAGGCTGGCCCGCCCCGGGGTGGGGGTTGTGGGCGGTTCTGGGACTCGGGCTGACTCGGTGGCAGGCCCTGCCCTGGGCGGGCATCGTGGGGGGCCCAGGGGAGCTGGCAAAGGTGCAGACCCCTGGAGGCTCACCGTGGGAGGCAGTGGCCTGAGCCAGGGACCCAGGAGGGGCTCAGTCAGCCACGCGGAAAGGGGCAAGGGGCAGGAGAGGCGAACCCACCTGGGGCCCAGCCCCTTCCTCCCAGATCCTGAGGGTCCCCACCTGGCCAGGAATCGAGGTCATCAGTGCATAATAGCAGCTGCACAGCCCCATGAGCTTTCTAGTCGCCCAGTAAAATGGTGTTATTCCTTATAGCAGCAGGCGAGAGAGGAAACAGGCAGAGAGAGGTGGGGTGGGCATGCAGTGCACACCACGGGATGCCGATCCCCACACACGCAGCGCTGCCGCCACAGACATCTGTCCCCCCCCAGCCTGGACCCTGAGGGCACTGGTGGGGAGGTTGGATGAAGACCCCTAAAGGAGGGGAGCATAGTCATGAAATGACATACGCCAGAGTGAGGAGGGAGAGAGGAGGACACTGTCCCCTCAGCCACACTGGGGCAGGGGACAGCCAGAGGTCACCAGTGCCCGACCAGTCTGGCAGGAAGCACTGCTGGGGCAGACAGGAAGGCCCTGGGGTGTTTGCTTTGCTCCCCCCAAGAGGTGACGCTTCTTGTCACCAGCCCAGTAAGGCAGCAGTGCAGTGGGAGGAACGGCCTGCCCAGAGGCAGCAGTAGACACTGGGCCCAGACCTCCAGAACCCAGAACCTGGGACAAGTCCCATCCCCCCACTGAGCCTGGCTCTCTGTGACCTTGGTGGAGGACATGAACACATCTCCGAGGTGCCTTGTAAGGAGGAAACGCTTGTGGTTGTGCCCCTGGTCTGTCCATCACTTGGATGAGGGGCCCAGTGGATGTGGGACGGTGGCTTGAACAAGGGAAGAGAGTTATTCTGCTAGGAAGCTGGACATGGTGGAGCTTGCCTGTCATGCCAACACCAAAAAGGCTGAGGCAAGAGGAACACAAGTTGGACGCCAGCCTGGGCTACATACTGAGTTCAACGCCAGCCTGAACTGCACAGTGAGACCCTCTCTCAGAAACTGAAAAGAAAAAACAAACAAGCAGCCCCACATTAACTCTGCCTAAGTTTCAAGGTCCTTTGCTCCTGGGGGAGGGGGCAGGAATGGGGGGCGAGGTTGGGATGGGACCCATGCCCGGAGACTTTCCGTCACTTCTCCAGTGGTCTGGAACCGCCATTGTGAAAGCCAAGGGTGGTACACACACACGGCAAGGTCGTGATGCCCCGAAGACCTCAGAAACGTCCCAGTTGTTCTTCTCTTGGTGTCTTCCGCAGGTGGGGAGAGATGGGGCTGGGGCAAGCACACAGGGCCGCACCGAGGCTCCCAGACAAACATTCCTCGCATGACTAAGGTGTCTACACACAGAGTTAAAGTCTGACTGGAGGTTAGGGTGGCAGAGGGTACAGCGTGTAGGGGGCCCCAGGGCCCAGTGCTTCACCTGCTTTAGGTGCCCATGAGGTGCTGGTACTTGCAACACAAGTAGTCTTCAAGGCCCTGGGAAGTGACCAAGGCAGCCATTGTCCTCATAGCCCCCTTGACAGGTATCACCGGCAGCAAGCAGGTGAGGGACTGGTCATATGTGCTGTGAGGCGTGATCTCCAACATTAATAGTTTTAAAGTCAATTGAAAGCAGGTGAAGCTAGAGGTTTTGAGGGTTTTTCTTTTAGTGGGTTTTTTGTTTTTTGTTTTTTAAACAGGGTCTCACTATGCAGCTCATACTGACCTGGCAGTCTCTAGACAGTGCTGATCTTCCTGCCTCAGCCTTTCCCAATGCTGGGATTACAAATATGCACCATCATGCCCAGCTGTTAGGGTTTTCATGGAGTTATATACCTGACACTTAAAGAGGGCCCTACAGGAGGCTGGGTAGAGCAGTGGGATGATAGCCTCTTCTTGGGGCCCAGAGCACAGGAAGTGGGGTCTAAAGACAACCCTATAGGTGCCCTGTGGTGGGCGGGGCTTTCTGGAATGAGTTTGAGTCCAAGGCAGGTCCTGTGTGCATAGGTGTGTGTTCTCGGATGGGTGTAGGGCGGAGGCCAAGGGACCCTTCCTTGAGGGACCCTTTGAGCTCCTTCAGAGAGGCTGGGTGCTGCCGCTGGGGAAGCCTACCCCAGACCTCTCCAGTAGTCCCATCCCGAGGAACTCCTGCCCCATTGGCCTTGTCTTCCAGCCCAGAGAGCTGCTGGGTACTCCAGGCTGTGCTGGCTCCTGCCACTGAGCATGTGCAAGGCAAGAGCGGGAAGTTCCGCCTGTCTGCATACCCTGCTTCCCCTGCATATGCCTACTTCTTCCTGCCCATGGCCAGGCACCTTGGACTCCACCTGGTGCTGCTGGACCCATGGGAGCTCCCAGCCCTGGGCCACCTAGAGCCCCTGCTGCCCATCACTGAGTCCAGGGGAGGTGGTGTGGATGGGCAGGTCTAGAGCCCTGAGACACCAGTCTGGGGCCTGGCCCAATGGATTCCAAACTCTGAGCCCAGAGTGGATGTGGACCTGACAAGATCCCCAAGGGCAGAAGTGCAGTGCAAGTGGCCCTGTGGGACACTGAGCAGCCTGGGGCAGGTTTGTCTTGAAACCATGGGACTGGTTCTGTACTGGAACCTGGATCCATGTCCCTAGCCTGGCACAGTGTGGGTCTCTGGGCAGCTCCGCAGCAAGGCCACGTGGACTGTGCCCAGCCCTGTCCTGTGCCACCCAGCTGTGTGTCCCAGGCAAATTACTTAACCTCTCTGGTCCTCAGCTCCTACCCAGTGAAACAGGGAGCACCCAGCTCCTCCGCAGGTTTATGGGAGGCCAGCTATGGGACAGTGGCCAGCACAGCCCCAGGATGCCGGGGCCCTGCAGAACTTCGTTCATGCCGATCGTTTCCCTCTGCGATTGCCACGCTGTGCTGACCACACAGGTGCTGTATGACAGCCGGCAGCTTCGGGTAGGAGGGGAAGCCCCCGCCCAGGTCTGGGGGGCAGAGAGGAGGACACTGGGTCACCTGGAGTACCTGCTGGGGCAGTGCCATCCGTCCTCACTGTGGATTTTTTTTTTCTGTAAGTTTTTTTATTTATCACTGAAGAAAGAAAACACAGCAGCAAGTTTGGTGTTGGCTTCAATATGTCGCTGTGGATTTAGACCTCTCCAACTGTGTGTGTGTGTGTGTGTGTGTGTGTGTGTGTGTGTGTGTGTGTGTAGGAAGAACCCAGGACCTTGCAGTGTAGCTCAGGCTGACCACCAAGCCATTGCAGTCCTCCTGCCCCAGAATCCCAAATGCTGAGATTTCAGGTGTGCACCAGCATGCCCAGTTTATTTTTTATTTTGAAGCAGGGTTTCCCGAAATTGCTAAAGTGCCTGAGTGGGACTTGAATTTGTAATCCTCCTGCCTTAGCCTCCCTAGGATTATATGCATGTGCATTGCCTGGCTAGACCTCACCATCTTTGAAAACTACTGGCTGCTGGACAAGGGGAGGTGGATGTCCTTGCTCCCGGGGACCCTGGGCTGCCATGTATGGACAGCATCTTCACCTGCTGGCCTCAGGTCCCTCAGCAAGGTGCCCCTAAGGACAGCCAAGTCATACTCCTGGGAACATGGAGCCCAGTACAGTTCAGGGAGGGCTGTGGGAGTGTTCAGGGTTTCCCCGGGCACAGAAGCACACAGTGTCCCTGTAATGTCCCTAGTCCTTGGGCAGGGCCCAGGGGCTCCATGGACGATGACACAGAGAGCAAAGAGCCAGGGCTGAGGCAAGGCTCGAGGTTTATTTGGAATCATTTTTAAAAAAGAAAAAAATAATTCACAGCAGCATTTGACCTGCAAAGTGAGAAGGAGCGGAGGAAACAGGCTGGAGTGAGCGGTGATGTGGCAGGCGGTCAAAAGGCGCAGCACGCGGAGGGCAGGCCCATGGTGTTGAGATGCAGAGCCTGGATCCAAGGCAGAGGGGCGTCCTCGGGCCTCAGGGCCCACAGCAGCCATCTAGTCACCCCCACTCTTGGCCTCAAAGAGATAGAGAGGGATCCTCACACTGGGCTTCACATCCCCAACCCTCCTGGCCCTCCAGGTCCCTCGTGGAGGTCATACTGCCAGGCCCAGGGTCCCTGCGGATGAACAGGTGGCCAGAGGCTTCCAAAAGGTGCTGGGACCCGGGAAATTGGAGTCTGGCAGTGGGGGCTTAGCCCAGGAGCCCCAGGTGTGCCCAGCTACCCTACCTCCTCAGCTGCTCCTTCCTCCACAGCAGCCTGCTCCTCCTGGGCGGGGTGTTCCAGGTCCTCCTACAGGGCAGCAAAGGGGGCCTGAGGCCTTGGGAAAGGCACAGAGAGAGCCCTTCTGGGGGTGCCTGCTCCACCAAACTGACTCCAGGTCTTGGTACCCCTGCCTGGGTCCCTTGATGAGAACCACTGGTGTGAGGGGCTGGGTGGTAGAGGCCCGTGACTCACATACGTGCACATCAGGAGGGCTGCCATCCTTGCTGTTCATCCTTGTTGCATAAAAAGCCTGGTGGGCATCAGGACAAGCTTGCCCCAGGGGCCCTCTGTCCCTTGTAGTGTGGACCCTCTACAACCTTCTGTCCCCCTACACACCAACCCAAGAGACCCTTACCCAGGTGGTCATGACAGCAGGGGCTCCAGGCAAGAAGCTCAGCACATGGGCATTCAGTCCCCTGAGGCAGGACAGGACTGGGCCTGGAGGTCACCAAATGGTGTCCCCTGGGGCTGCTGTGAGGGCCTATCTGCTCTCCAGGGCCCCTACAGGGCTGCCCAGCACCTGTCCTAAGGCCTTCCCCCTGGGGCCTGGGCTGCTGAACACACACAGATAGTGTTGGGTGCTCACTAAACAAAAGCCACTCCCCTGCTGCACCCCACAGCCCAGTGAGACACACACTGAGACCCAGAGAAGTGACACCACTTCTAGGGGTGCACGGCTGAGCAAGGTGGAGCTTGGGGGCAGGGATAGGGAGCAGCTGCCCCCTCCAACTTGAGGACTCACTTCAGGGGCCTTGGAAGTGGCACCTGTGCAACCCCCAAAGTGGGCAGAATAGAACCCTTCCTATCCTCAGAATGGAGGACCTGGGTGGGGCGGCAGCAGCAGCTGCAGGGCCTGCATGCTCTGAACCAGGCAGAGCACCACGCCCGTGTGAGCTCCCTGGGGGACCTGGGGCCGCATAGGACATCTGTGCCGATTAAACGAGTTAACTAGCGTAAAGAGCACAGCTCCTGGTCAGCTCCCAGTGCCGGCATGTCCTCAAGGAGAGCCACACGGCCCTGCACTGTCTGCTGGGCCACACAAGTGTGCACTTGTGTGTGCATCACAAGGCGCACCCCCACTGTACACACACACACACTCCTCACGCAAGACACATGAACCCTGCACAATGCACCCCCCCTGCACGTGTGTGCGTGCACGCATACACACACACACAACACACTCCTCACACAAAGGCCAAACCAAGGGTGTGGTCAGAAGCCTTGTCACTGTCTACCACCAGGGGGCACTGCTTCCCCGCTCCTCCTGGGAGGAGGCTGTGGCCCACCTGGGGGAGGCTCGGCTGGGGGTGGGAACGGTGGGTCTGCCTCTGCTGTCGCCTCCTGAGCCCTGGCACACTTATGCAATGCAGCCTCTCCTAGCACTGAGTGCATAGAGTGGGCGTGGTTTGGTCTCACTTTGTCTATATAAAATGAGCCCCACTCTCCACTGCAGGGGACTCAAGGTGACAGGTGGTGGACCCAACTCCCTGTCCTCCTCGAGTCCAGCAGCAGTGTCGCCTCCCCCAGCCGTGTTCTAGGCCTGGGGACAGCTGGAGACCAGGCTCACCTTGCGCACCACTCCGGCAGTGACCACAATGTTCTCCGCCTCCTCCACAGTCTTGGTGGCCACAGTGTTGACGCTGGTGACCACAGCCTCGCTCACGGCACTGGCCTGCTCCTTCGTCTTCTCAGCCACTGCAGGAGGATGAGAGAATGCTGGTGTCAGCTCTGACCCCACCCCAGCCTTCCCTTCCCAGGCTCTTCCATAGCCCTTCTTGACCCAGGACTCCTCTGTCCCCAGCTGGCAATGAGAGATCACTGTGGGCGATCCTGGGTCTGTGGGGTCCAGGTTCACACAGGGTCTGGACCCCAGCTGTGGTGAGGAGGACTCAGGCTTGGGTGCAGGCATCCTGGTCCTCACCCTGCCCCAACCCACCTTGTCCCCAGGTACTGGGTCCCCTCACCTGAGGTCACGCTGTGCACCATGTTCTCCTTGGTCTTGGCACCTGGGGGGATATGGTGGTATCAGCCCAGGCCTACATCCTAGGGTCAGGGTAGATGCCAAAGGACATGTGGATGATGGGCTGGGACAGAGGCAGCAAAGGGGGGTGGGTCCAAGTCTAGGCAGGGTCTGGCAGCCCCATAAATGGCTTCCTACTGTGTCTGGATGAGGTGAAGGATGAAAGGGAGACAGGACAAGATGGGGGACAAAGGAGCCTGGGGACCCCACAAGTCCAAGGGCCCAGACCCTGACTGGGCGTGGCCAGGGCCTCGGAAGCTGCAGCAGACACAGATGCAGCTGAGTCACCAGCTTGGTCTCCCCTGCATCCTCTCTTGGGGCAACTGGGGGCTGGGTGGACAGACCCTGAGCCAGGTCCTCTGTCCCCAGTCGTGTCCTTCCCTTGAGGCAGGACCACCTGCAGCTGTGCTGAGGAGCCAGACTGGGTGTGTCTGTGTGCACAGACAGGCGGTGACTAGAGGCATGGACACTCGGCCCCTACCCCATCTCAGCAGCCAGATCCTCAGCCTGCCACAGCGGCCCGGTGGGACCGGGAAGATCAGGCTGAAGGTCACAGCCCCGGCCCCACTGCCCGCCCTACTCACCCACATACATGACGCCCTCCTTGGTCTTCTCAGCCGCCTCTGTCACACCCTGCTTGGTCTTCTCCACGGCGCCCACCACCCCCTCCTTGGCAATGGAGAAGCCCTTCTTGAAGACGTCCATGGTGGAGACGAGGATGAAGATGCAGCTCTCTCCACTGCAGCTGGAGCTGGCTCAAGTGCTGCCACAGCCCTGTCCCCGCCACTCCCGCTGCCTCTTATTGACGCGGATGAAATATTGATGCTGTGGCTGCTGGCGCCGGCCCAGGCCGCCCAGCAGTGGGGGTGGGGATGCTGGGGAGGCCGTCTCCAGGCAGGCATGGCAGGAGCAGGGACAGGTCCCTGCAGGGTCACCCATCCTCCTGCCCTATGCCCCAGGAGAGTCTGGGGGCTGCACCATCCTGACCCTTGCCCCTTGTCCCACGCAGCCTGGCTGCCATCTGTGCCCAAAGAGGGCTGTGGCCATGGCAAGGGCCCAGCACCCGGGCTAGGGCATGGGCAGGGCAGGATGAAAGTGTCCCACTTGACCCATCAGGGAGCAGGGCCAGCCACACAAGGCTTCCCCATGGCCTGGACTCTGCTGGCCTGCTGTGTGACACAGGAGGGCTCCTTGACCTCTCTGAGCATCCTCTCAGCAGCCCCAAAGTGAGGGATGCTGAGGCAGTACCACACACCTCCACTTCCTGGCCAGCAGTGGGGTTGATCAGCAGGTCCCCTGGGACCAAGGGACCACTTCCTGCCACCATGTGCTTCCCTGAATCCCACCCATGGGGCTGGTTTTCAGGGCCACCCTTGCGTTCCCACACCACAGTGTCCAGGAACACAGGAACTGTCTTGCGTGGTTGGCGTGTTCTGGCAGGAGGTGGGGGGCCGGACAAGACCCACAGAGCGGGGCTGGCCCAGGCCACTTCCTGTCTTTGTTGTCCCTGTGTTTTCTTTTCCTTCTGAGGTTTAACTTGAAGACCACGTCACTGGCAGGCTGGGGTCACTTGCTGCTTGTGCCTGCCCAGCCACTGAGATGATCCTGACACTGCTGCTCAGCCTTGGGGGGCCCCTGGGCTGGGGGCTGCTGGGGGTTGGGGCCCAGGATCCTGGCAGCAGCTTCTCTGATCCCTACAGACCCAGACCCCTGGGGTCTCCAGGAACTGAGGCTGAGGATGGCACCAGGGGACCCAGTGGAAGGTAAGGAGGCCTGGGCTTGGGGATAGGCCTTGATGGCATCTGTGGAATGGGCCATTACTACCCGTCCGTGGGCCAGTGGTGACAGGTGGCACCAGGGGCCCTTCAAGGACTGGATTGGGCACCAGGAGGGACAAGGGCAGTGGGTCTGGGGTAGGGGACCGGCTCCCCTCCCCAGAGCCGTCCAGGGAGCCCCAGGGACTGGGGTTCCCTGCAGCTCCACCTGGGAGGCCCCGTTCCTCCCCTAATGAAATTGCCCAAGCCTGGGCCTTAGAGCCTGGGGCTGTGGCTCGGATCTTGGTTTCCCGGAGACTGGCACTGCAGCTCTGGTATCCAGAGGCATGGCCCCTTGGGGTGGGCAGTTGGTCTCACAGCTGGACACCCTGTTCCCAACATTCTGAGTGTGCAGAGCCAGGGCCTCAGCTGGGAGGACCTGGGAGGGCGTCCCCAGGGTTGGGGCAGCCCCGGAGTCTCCTCCGCAGAGCAGCAGGTGCCATCTCCAGCCAGGCATCGGGCCAGCTGTGTCTGAAGGAATCTCCCGAGCAGCTCGGCTCACAGAAGGGAGCCTGAGACTCCTCAGACAGGATGAGAAGCTAGCCCCGAGTAACAGGAGTAACATGGCCTGCTGAGGGGACCCAACGCTGTGAGCAACAGGCTCCGAGGCCCAGAGGGCGGGGTCAGCTCCCACCCCTGTCCTCTGGAGACCCGCAGGACATGAGTGCAGAGGTGCTGGCAGGGCGGGGGCCCCAGCCCTGGGCTCGGGTCTGGGTTGCAGGTGCGGCTGACTCCTGGTGGAGAGTGGCCCCTCAGCTCTGATTTTATTTCTCCTTCTCTTCGTATTGTCCCCCTCCTTCCCTTCTTTCGTTCCTTCCTTCCATCCCCAGCTTTGGTTTCTGGACACAGCACACGTTCTGCTAGCTGTCCTGGGGCTGTGGGCTCTGTGCTCATCCTCAGCTCAGAGCAGGAGGAGGGGAGGGGCAGGACAGAGAAGGTGCCCTCTCTTCCCCTGGGCAGTGAGAGGGACCCTCAGCCTTCTCTGGTTGCTCTCAGGACTCCTGCAGGGGGAGTCCCTTACCCACTGCCGGAAGCTGCAGACCTGCAGTGGAGGGGAAGCATCCGGCTGCTGGTGAGAAGGGAAGGAACCGCCAGGCTGGGCTTCCTGGGCTGGTAGCTTCCCAGTTCCTAAGATGAGGCAAGGCGGAAGCACTGGCCCGTGACTGCTGCAAGAGGAGGGGACTGCAGGCCCAGCTCCACAGCAGGGGGTAACACTACCATAGCACCAGGGGAATCCCCCAAACAGAAAAGGGTCTCCCTCCTACCCTGCGTCTGCCCCCCTACACAGCCCTTGTGAGACCTTTGCAAGAACAGGCATGCAGTCAGAGATGGCAGTGCCCTCCCATGGTGGATGGGCGTGGCCAGCTGCGTCCTTAGCCCTGGGGAGCTTAAGGAGGAGCCCAAAGCCCAAACCATGCTGGACTTGTGCTGGGTGGAGCTTGAGGACCATGGCACCCGCCCCCTTGTGGGGGGGAGGACTGTCTGCCTGACTACCATGGCCAGGCTGTCCCACAGGGCCCTGAAGGACCAGGGCCAGCCCCACACTTGCCCAGTTGCAAACCCTAGTTGTCCTCTGTCCTAACCTTCTTGATCCCCAAAGAAAACAGCAACAGGGCTGGAGAGATGGCTCAGTGGTCTAAAGCACCTACTTGGAACAAGCTTGGCAAAGCACAGGGACCTCGGTTCAATCCCCCAGCACCACATGCCAGCCAGCCCCGCCCCCAGGTGGGCTGAGCTGGCCACACACACACACACACACACACACACACACACACACTAAAAGGAATAAAATAAATAAATAATTAAAAAAAAAAAAGAAAAGAAAACAGCAACAGTGCAGCTCCTAGGGCCTGGGTGTCAGCCTGGGCTTCTGGCAGAAGGGTCACTGGGCACCTGAAGCTGGGTGTTGAAGGATGCACCCCAGGCCCCTGTACCCCACCCAGGCCAGCCTGGGCACTGGGCCCCAGCTCAGGGTGCCCTAGCCTCAGACTCTGGTCTCCAGGACCACTGGCCATGCTAATGGACAGACTCAGGGCTCCAGAGTGAGGCAGCAGAGCTGTCATCCCTGGAGGACTCGGCCCTGGTCAGGGCACTAAGTGCTTGCTTGGGCTGGCCGCTCAGTGTATCCATTATCTGCCTCCCACACCCTCTGTCCCTAGAGCTTCAGCTTCTCTGAATTTCCAGGAGTGGGCTGGGCCTGCTCCAGGGCACAGGGCCCAGAGGGTGGGTGGGAGAGCTGAGGCTGTGTTCAGGCGGGGGTCAGGGTGGGATCAGCCTGAGCAACCCTCATTTAGCCAGGCACTACCTGCCCCTCCACAGATTCTGGGAGACCTGGGCTCCCCAGGGCACCTCCTGGCCCAGGGCTGGGCAGCTGCTGCCAAGAGCTGGAGGAAGCCCAAGCCAAGGTTGAGAATGTTCCCATGGCTTCTCTGCCAACAGCCAAGGGAGGGGCGCCAGGGCGTGGGCAGGGGGCAGCAGCTATGAGCCAGGCTGGGGCAGGGTGGCTCTGCGAAGGCTCCTACGCAGGAAGGGTGGGCAACATCACCTCCGGTCCAGGAGCTGGAAAGCCCCTGTCACACACATGGGTCACAGGCACAGGCTGACCCGGGCTCGAGCACAACATGGCCATGTGGCAGCTGCCTCAGTGGTGTGGGCTGCTTAGCAGGATTCCTGACCTCTAGCCACCAGATGCTGTAGCACCCATCACCCAATTGTAACAGCACAAGTGTCCCCATCTGCTTGTGGAATGTCCCCTGTCTCCTACTGAGAACCAGGGTGCTGCGTCATCATTCCTCACTGAGCCCAGCTCTGCCCACTGTCACCTTTCTCCTCCATCCACCTGAATGGTGACAGCACCATTGTCACTTCCTGGTCCCCTTGGGGGACATTTAGCCCCCAAGTCTCTCTTCCACTGCTCCACTTGTTTATGCTTTGCTCTAGGGTGGGGGCTTCTTGTTTGTTCAGCTGCTTTGGTTTGGGGTCTCCTGGGCCTGGGGACAAACTCCAAGCTCCAAGCCCTGAGTATGAAGGTGAGCCACTGAGCTCACCCACAGCCATGAGCTGGTCTAGGGAGCACGAGAGAAACTCCAGTCAGTGTTATCTCTCAAAATGTTCTTCTCATTCATCTGTTTTTCCCCTTACACATGGACAGGGTTGATAGATAGATAGAATGACTGATTGATTGATTGATTGATTGACAACTGATTTTTTTTTTTTTTTGTACTGGGGATTGAACTCAGGACCTTGGGCTTGCCAGGCAGGCGCTTATGCCCTTGAGCTATCTCCCCAGCCCTATGATTGATTGATAATTAATTGATCTTTGCAAAACTGAAGTTTAACCTGGAGGCATTCCACTGATGAGCTAATCTCCAGCACTCTTTGCTTCTCTCCTCTTCTGTTTCTCCACCTTCTCCTCTTCCTTTGCTAGAAGCAGGACCTCGATGAGTTGTACATCCTAAATTTGAACTTAGATTTGATCCTCCTGCCTCAGCCTCCTGAGTGTCTGAGATGAGGCATGCACAGTCACATCTGCTATTTACTTTTTGGGGGGGTGGAACTGGGAATTGAACTCAGGCCCTTGCACTTGCTATTTTTTAAATGTCATTTTGCTTAGCTACATATAAACAGTGGCCGAGTCAGGACACTGTAGCCGGGGTGCTATCTGTTTTCGTTAATAAAATGCTATTGGAACACATTAGGGCCAGCAGCACCATGCTGGCACAGCTGAGCAGATGACATGGGACCAGGAGACCTGGAGACCCGCAAATCAGGGCCGGCACCCACGAGGCCCTGCTCCTGCACTCCACACAACCCAAAAAGAGCCCACAGGGCAGCACAGCCCTGCTAGGCCATCTTGAAATAAGGACTTTTGAGCAAGGGTTGTTTTGTTTTGCTTTTTTTGAGACAACATCTCACTGTGTAGCCCAGCCCAGCCTCCAACTTGCATAGATCCTCCTGCCTCAGTTTCCCGAGTGCTGGGCTTACAGGCAGGTGCCACCAAACCGCAAGCTAGTCCACATACTCTCACCCACACAACCACAATGCCCTTTGGAGAGCTGTGCCTTACAGTGCCAGTGACTCACTCTTTCCCCTGCTCATTTTTTGTTTTACCTGGAATGAAAAATTAGCCTGTTTTCTTCCTCTGCTTGGTTCCTGTCTTTGTCCCTGATTCAGTCCCAGCTTTCAGCATCTCATCCACTCCTTCGCACATGGGTTGGACAGGTTGTGTCCTCTGGGTGAGGCCTCTGCTGCAGCAGCCTGGTGGCCTCAGTCTGGCTGTTGGCCTTGCCTGCCCCACTCCCTCAGCCCCCACCCCCATTAGTTTAGGGCCCAGGACCCCAGGCGCCCTCCCCACACCCACTCTCATCCCTGTCTGTGCATAGCCTGGGAACTGGGATCCTTGCTACACTGTGACCTCTGGGTCCCTGGGCTGTATGGCCCTGCCCAGCTTCACAGCTGCCTCAGGCTGCCTGTGGGACCCCAAGATTGAGATGCTTTGTTTCTTTGGAGCTGGACCTGGGAACCAGGTCCTCGTGTCTCGAAACCCTGCTCCACGCCAGGCCGCACCGCAGCCCACAAGATTCTCCAAATGCACACTCTGGCTTCCGGGTGCAGGTGACACGGGGACTACATCAGCACCCCTGATGATGGTCAGGGAGGCTGTGTCCCAAAATCCTGTGACTCGCAGGTGGCAAGGTTGTCACTTTCTGCGCTGGGAGCCATTCCTGCTGGCTTTGAGGGGCCCAGGGCTTTCCAGTCACTGTGCGCCTGTGAATGTGCCAGTGTGGTGTGTGAGGATGGGGTGTGTGTGTGTGTGTGTGTGTGTGTGTGTGTGCATGTGTGTGTGTGTGTGTGTGTGTGTGTGTGTGTGTGTCTGTTTCTCGGCATTTTTCCCCACAAGCGGTTAGAGCCAGCTGTCTTCCGAGAACCCACGGAGGCTGACCTGGGGCCCGCCCTATTCCCTCACTGCTGGAATAAGTACCTGACATTTTTATCAACGACTTCCACCCTTTGTTCTCTCTTTCTGGAACTCCTATAATTTGGATGCTGGATTTCCAGAACTGGAAATTTTTCTTAACTGTTTTTTTTTTT